TCTTTGATTATATTAGTTTTTGCTTAAAATTCGCTTTTAATATTACCCACTCTCAAACTCTCTTTTCTCAAGTTTTAACTCTAAATATTTAATTAGGAATTGTTTCTACATAAATTATCCAAATAATCATTGAGGAAAACGACCGTGCATGAGCATCTATACTACAACATCCTTGTATTCTTGCAAGTATTTCATGTGATTTTGACCCTATTTGCATAGACGTTAAAAATCCTATCAAGAAATTTGCGCCGTTGCCGGGGACTATTTTAGATAATTTTTGTTTAAACTTTTTCTGATTATTTTTTTTTATATTATTTTTCGTCAAAAAAAGACAACAAAAAATTCAAATTATTTTAACGCTTTTGTGTGATTGTAGATTCTGTAAATTGCATGGTCCAAACTAGATCAGGAACTGCCCAGATTGCACAGTTTGGTCCAGAACCCGAACGCACACTGCATAGACAGGGGAGAGAAAATAATTTGGTTTGGGACTGTGCAGTGCAAGGCACATTCCTGCAGGAATTGTTTGCTGGTTTTGTAGGCAGTAAAATCACAATGGCGTTGCAATTGCCTGCTGCAGGCAGGCCACTCAGAGAGTCATTGGCTGCCTGAGTCAATGATGTTCCTAATTGTATTGTGTATCCTGCCCATGAAGATGGTGATTCATTTGAGATCAAGCACCATATGCTTGAAATTTTACCTACTTTTTGTGGGCTGCCTAACGAGTATGCGAATTTACATGTTGCAAAATTCATCGTGGGTTGCAAAAATATTTTGATCAGGGGTTTTTCTGTCGAGGCTATTAAGTTACGTCTTTTTCCTTTTACTTTGAAGGATAAGGCAGAAACTTGGTTGTTCACTTTACCAGCTAATAGCATTACTACTTGGCAACAATTGCATACAAAATTCCTGAACAAATATTATCCGGCATCCAAGACATTAAATTACAAGCGGGAGATTATGACATTCACTCAAAAGCCAAACGAAGAATTTCATGAAGCGTGGGAGAGATATACAGAAATGTATATAAAGTGTCCACATGCTAATATTGATTCAGATAAACAAATGAATATTTTCTTTGATGGGCTTAATCCTACATCTAAAAGTCATGTTAATGCATCAGATGGGGGTTCATTGTCAAATAAATCTGCAAGAGAAGCATTTGAATTATTTGATACAATGGCTACAGAATCTCAAGAGTGGGCAGCAGAACATTCACAAAAAAGGGGCATTTTTGAGTTATCAGCAGGTTCCTCTAATATGTCTGCACAAATGGAAAAAATGGAGAAAAAAATTGATGCAAAGTTTGACATTATTTTACAACAGATAGCAAATTCTACACAGCAGCAGCAACCTACATCAACAATCTACACTATCTGCAGCATGGCTACACACGACATATTGGGCTGTCCACATAAAGAATCTTACCCAGAGCTTGTCGAGCAACATGTTAATATGATGAACAGTTATCAAAGGCCTAGGAATGATGCATATGCAACTCATTACAATCCAGGATGGAATGATCATCATAATTTCAAATGGGGTGACAATCAAAATAATGCAAGACCATTCCAACAAGCACAAAAACCTTTTGTACCATCCAAACCATCATTGGAGGATCAAATGACTAAACTGGCAGCAACAACACAAACATTCATGGAAGGCAGCAATCAAAGATTTCAGAATATTGAGGCATCAATTAAAAGTTTAGAGTTACAATTTGGGCAGCTAGCTGCACAGATTTCAGACAGAGAAAAAGGAAGGTTTCCTAGTCAAATGATGTATAATCCAAGAGGTACAGAGGATTGTTTGTGCAATACGGACTTTAAGGTGTGGTAAAAAGTTATGACAACCGTGAAAATGGCACTGAACAGAATCTGCCAGCAGTGAAAATTTCTACAGAATCTGCAAAAACAAGGGTAGAACCTGCCAATTCTGCATCAAAACAGAATCTGACCAGTGCAGAAACTGTCCCAAAACAGGTTTCTGAGCGTGTTTATAATCCTCCAGTACCATATCCAGAACGGTTAATACCAAAGGCTAAGGATCAGCAGTTAAAAGACTTCATACAGACATTGGCTAAAGTTCAAATAATTTACCATTGTGGGAAGCGATTAACAAGATTCCTTCTTATGCTAAATATTTGAAAGATGTTTGCACTAAGAAGAAAAAGCTCGTGGAAACAGAGAAAATTGTGCTCACAGAACAATGCAGTGCAGTTCTACTACACAAATTGCCTCCAAAGAAGAAAGATCCAGGGAGTTTTACTATTCCCTGTACTATTGGCAATTTTGATTTTTAAAGTGCGTTAATTGATTTAGGTGCTAGTGTAAACTTAATGCCTTATTCTGTTTTTAAACGTTTAGGTGAAAGCAAGCTGAAGCCAACCTCCAACATTATTCAATTGGCTGACCGTTCAATTACCTATCCTAGAGGAATCATCGAAGATGTTATTGTTAAGGTTGACAAGCTGTGATTTTATGGTTGGACATGGATGAAGATTTGACAACACCCATCATTTTGAGACGACCCTTCATGGCAAACAGCCCGAACTCTTATTGATGTTGAAGCAGGAACATTAACACTACGGGTTGAAGATCAAACAGTTGTTTTCAATTTGTTTGAAGTCATCACACATCCAAGTGACAAGAAAGAATGCATGCGTGTTGATGCATTAGATGGTTTACCTAAGGCCAAATTTATGACCAGATCATTAACTAACCATCTGCTCATAAAGACTCAAGATGTGATTCGTGAGTGTGATAGTAAAGTGCAACAGCAAAAAGTTCGGGCGGTTGAAGTGTAAAAATCAAAAGCAGAACCAACTTTGTTTGACAACTATCTAATCCAAGAAAAAACATCCAAATAAGTAAAAAGTTGCAAAAATACAGCCTGGTAGAAAGATGTGGTTGTTAAATTCCAGTTTCAAGTTAATTCCAGGGAGACAAGAGTCTCGGTGGAAGGGACCTTATATGGTTAAGCAAGTTTTTCAAAACAGTAATGTGGACATTGAACTAGAGGGCAGGGGTTGTGTGCTCAAGGTCAAGAAGTCTCTACTAAAGTCATTCCCAAAGAAGTTTGGTACAAGCGAGTCTTTGACTCTGAAGGAACCAGTGATCTAGCCACCGGGCTTCTGCGACGTCTTAGCTACAGACTTAAAGTAACTTTTTTTACTTTCTTTCATGCTTTTATTTCATTAGCTAAATAATTTCTGATTTCTTGTGACACACATTAAAAATTTCTGGAGCAGTTGAATCACCAAACGAATAAAAAAAATAAAAAAGTGGGAAAATAGAGCTTACGCGGTTTGACCGTCGGATAGAAGCAGCAGTTGAATCACACGTCCATCAAGCCTCCGCGGTGAAGTTTCGTTAGACGACGACGGCCACTAGGCAACTTGGTGTACCTAAGCATTGATTGGACTTGACGACATACAGACAGACTTTGTAGCCCCTCTCATGCCCCCTCTGACTTGATCTGACTTGATCTGTGACTTCATTTTCTTACATACACACAGGTTATTGCTCATCTTTCTGATTCATGGTTATTTCTGTTCATGTTATTGGCTAATACAATATTTTGAATGCTGAATTATTTTTCTGGTCATGTTTTTGCTTGGAAAACTAATACCACCATTCCAGTTAGCTTGTATTCAATGGCATCGAGCACCCAACGAGCCGCTTCATCTCTTCCTTCAGCTCTTGAATGGCAGTATATGATGTCTTTTTGAGTTTTAGTTTGGGGCGACGACACGCGCTTAGGTTTTACCGCCCATCTACTTAAGGAATTGGAAGAACAAGGAATTACAAGAACTTTCTTTGATGACAATGATCTTGAAATAGGAAGAAAAGTTTCTGAAATCTTCCCGGCAATTGAAAAGTCGAGGCTTGCCATCATGGTCATCTCTCCAAACTACGCTTCTTCAAAATGGTGCCTGAACGAACTCGTAAAGATTCTTGAATGCATGGAAGAGAGAGGGGCAATTATACCAGTTTTCTACCAGGTGGAACCCTGCGATGTTGGAGATAGGTCTGGGAGTTTTGGGAAAGGCTTCACTGAACTCGAACAAAAGTGTAAGAATGACAAAGAGTGAGAATGCCGAAGTGATTTTGGAACAATGGAAAGATGCCTTACAAAAAGTGGCAAAAATCAAAGGGTCTACTTCAAAGAATAGGTTGGCATTACTTGTTTTTCTCTTTCACTCAATTCAAAAGCTTTAGCAATCAGCACTTGACCCTTCATTCTTGCTATTTTTTTATAATTCAATTCTTCTAAAGCCTGATACAATAACTTATAGGAAAATCGAAGAATTCATATCATTTACTTTTTGCACAGTAATGAAGGTGCTTCATAACCGCTTAATCCCAATACAACTTAATGACTAAACATTGAGGCTTTGTAGACTGTGTTTATGCCTACAGTTCCATCCTAGAGAGCCTTTCTTTTTACCATTATTTGGTCCATTTGAGAGTCTAAGGGGAAAAAATTGATCCAGTTAAGAAGTCATATGTTTGAAATCCAATACTGCTACGCTTTTTTGTCCTCCCCTTTTCCTAAACCGTCTCTAATTTTGTCCAATACCAAACCACCCTCTTATAGATGGACGCAGAGACCACTTGGTACTATGACTTCAGGTGGACGAAAACAAAAATAGTCTGTGGCTCTTTTATTTCCTTGTGTATTAGGTCATATCTTGACATTGTCTATTTTTCTTGTAGAGAACCAGATGTCATCGAACAAATTATTGAAAATGTACGGAATAAAGTAGGACCTTTATCATTGGAACCTGCAGAAAAGCTAGTTGACATTGAATCGAAACTGAAGGAACTTGATGTGCTTTTAGAACTAGAGTCAAATGATGTTCTCTTTATAGGAATATGGGGGATGGGTGGGATAGGTAAGACCCTTGCCAAAACAGAGGGATTCGTCATAAATTTCAAGCCGAAAGCTTTCATGACGGAGTTAGAGAGGATTCTAAGGCACACGGTATGGCCTGTGTACAGAGGAAGCTTTCAAAGCCTTATGAAAAGAAAATATACAAGACTGGGCTGCCGGTGAAGCTGCCAGATGGAGAGTTTTTTACTTTCAGAAAAAGGTCTCATCATTCATTCTGATGACGTGGACGATAGTATCCAGTTAAGAGAGCTATGTGAAAAACCAGCTTGGTTTTGGTCAGGGAGTAGAATCATTATTACGAGGCATGAACATTAAAGCTACTACAGGTTTAGAGAAAATCCAAGAGAAAAACCTTGGAAGGGCCGGCTCTGGGTACCCTTTTTTAGAACTCATGCCAGCTTCCCTTAGCTCTTGAAGTCTTGGGGTCTTTTTGTACAGTAATTTTGATATGCACGGAGCAGTCAATTTGCGTTAAACTAGGGTGATTTCAATTTGGATGAAAAAATTATGATATTCTATTACAGTTAAACAAGGATTTTCCTTGAATTCCGCATGTTTCTTTCCTTGACATCGCATGTTTCTTTAAAGGGGAGGACAAAGATCGAGTATTTGAAATACTTGATAGTTGTGGTTTTAATCCAGGTATTGACATAGATGTCCTTATGGAGAAGTCTCTGACAACAATTTCAGATAACAGGGTGCGGATGCATGATTTGTTACAAAAAAAGGGTCAAACAATTGTAAGGACATCTTTCATGTTTTGAAGGAAAAAACGGTAAGAGCTTACCTAATACGTCAAATGTAAATTAATCTAACGATTAAGAGGCACGTAAAAAAAAAAAAGGATAATTGGACAGTTTGTATTATTTACTTCTATTTCTTCCACTATATTAACGGTATGTACTTCATAACAAAACCTTGGCAAAAATATAACGAAAGGACAAATGTGACAACACCATGAGTTGGATGTTTATGCCGAAATGAACTTTGGATGCTATTAGACACATCTCACATTGAGTTTGGAATATGTCTATAATTTTTAAAAGTGTGCGTAATATGGTAAATAAATAATGGAGGAACGGACCACACTCTTATGGTTAGAAGATGCATATTTTGTGTACCTTATGTATCTATTAGTCTGTTGTGTCAAACTGAAACAGGATGGTGGAATGATCAGCACCACTTCTACGACTAATTATGCTTATTGTATTCTCTAAGATGGTTAATTTTACTCGAGTTTTAGTAGATTAGCTCATATTATTGGGATACACCATGCAAACATGTAATAACGAACATTTCCTGAAGGCCTCAACCGTCTCCCATAATTCCTAAATAGACATTTATCTCAATATTATGTAATGGAGAGGAAAAATATTCTCTTTAGGATCTAAGTAGACTCTGGCCTCTCTCACTTTAGAAGCAAGGCTTCACCAACTCCGGTGAGATGGATTGCACGTTGTTGAATCTGCGCAACTATAACAATGCCACGTGTAGTACGATATGTGGAGCACATTTTCGGATTGAACAGCACTATCAGTGTAATCTTGGAATAGCATGATAGTGATATAGACACGATCTTACATGTCTAACCTATATATATCTTATTCCTTTGGAGATGGCTCACCCTAGTATACCAAATGAATATAAAGGGTATTTCCTCTTATGAGATTTCCAATTCATTACCGTTTGATTTAGAGTCTATTTGCTGAGATAAGATCTAAAGATTATATTGCGAAAGAGTTGGTCAAAATATCCAGAAAAGAATACATTTACCACGAATATTATCTTACAATAGCTGGAGAGAAATAAATTCAAAATCTGTAGTTCTCCATTTTCGGTTACTCATAAAAGTCTGCTGTCACCATGGAAAGAATCTGCTGAATTTTTAAGCGAAGCGATTCTTATGTACAAGAATCCTCTTTGAGCACAATTTTCAGCAGCACGATTGAATGGAGATGCGAGAAAGTTTAAGATGAGATTTGCGAGCGCAATTCTAATCAAAGGATAAATCGAAGACTTAAAGAGCTTATACTCTCTTCTTGACTTTTCACTACACTATTTTGCACATTAGGATATCGTGCGGAAGACTATCTTTTTTTACGGAAGAGATTCTGCTATGTATGTATGGATCACACATAATAAAGAACGCAAAGATTTTGTTCTTTTCTGGCAAGCATCCAAGGAACGGAGTCAATAAAAAATGATTATTCACAAATATTTTTATGTTGTGATTACTTTCTAAAAAGCTTATCTTGGATAAACATGAAGCAAACGCATTATCTACTTTTATATGAAATATAGAGATAGCGGGTTAGGTATATATGCGCTGGTAACGTTATTCAGGGCATAAAGCCTTATGTATATGGTGACTCCTCCCACTACCTGAGACATTTCATGCAGAGGAGACAATACCTCTTAACCAAAGACACAGTATGTATCTGTAGTTAAGATATTGATAGAGAATATATGCTAAAACAATGCTAAGTTAAGATGAGCAGCTGAGTGTCCAGAAAAAGAACTAAATAGTTTGAGCGCATATATGAAGGAGAATTCCTATAGATTTGGTATGTCTTGGCACGC